TACTAGGGGCTCCTGGCCGTACTACTAGGAGCAAGTAGCTACTAGTATCAAGAAGCTATTAGGGGCTCCTGGCATCGCTACTAGGAGCAAGGACGCTACTAGGGGCTTGTGGGAAAAAGGATGCGTTTTCATGGGGAGAAGTTGAAGTCGAATGGGATTCGCTCTCTGGCAAGTGGCAGGTCAAAATCACCGGCAGTTAGTTTTTAACAGGGAGCTCTCAAGATCTTCAAGTAGGCGGTTAGTATCTCTCTTGCTTCATACACGTTCATAGACTTGATATTCAGATATCCATCATGTCAGCAACGTGGCAAGCGCCAAACACACCGCGACCCCCCCGCTGGCGGCCTCATAAACCAAGGGCTCAACGCCGTTGGCGGGCGGCACGAAGCAAATCTGATCGTTCCGAGTTAGGGGCTGTTTCTCTTGAGGACTCAGCTTCTTTCCTGGGCCAGACATGAAAGTGGGATCTGATGAGAAGGAGGATTGATCTGATGTTTGGAAAGAAAAGGAGGAAAACACTACAGAAGGAGGAGGAGGAGGAGTTGCTTTTGAACAAAAGAAGCATCTCTTCTTTGTCTTCGAAATGTCCAGAATGAAGATGGAGCAAGACATCAGAGAATCCCATCAATCAATGGTGACACCAAAAATGCCGTTTCCCTTTGATCCTGATGTTGGTGTTTTCTTTGGCATCCACGAAGTCCCATCCAAAGAGTCACACAAAGGGCTTCCCTTCGATGTCCGCCGATCTCCGCGCGGAAAACCAACGCCGCGACTCCGTTCACCCAAGTGCCATTGGTGGAGAGGTCCTGGTCGCATGTCTTTGCGCCACGCCCAGGTAGTGCGGTCTCAGGTCTCAGGTCTGCATGGGGCGATGGGGTCACAACCAAAGTCCCAAAACGCCGCAAGCGAACGCAGGGTATGTTTCTCTTGTGAACGTGTGAACCATGTGAGACATTGAGCCTTGACCTGAGTAACGACGATATGTTTCATGAAAAGACTCTTGTTTGTTGACATCACTTCATTCACTGCTCTTCATTCGCTTGGCTCCTGAACAGTGAGTCTCCAGCTGGTTCCCTGACGAGACAGCTCGAGCACCGCATGCACCTGCGGCGACGAAGAGCTCGAGAGATGCGTCCAAGCCCGCCAGGTGACGCTTCCTGTGACGTTCGTAACTTCTTGTTACTACAGGTGAAACGATTCCCAACAAAGCTTCGGTCGCTACCTGCGTAGCTTCTTGGTACGTTCGTAGGCTTCCAACCTACTTGCGATGGCGTCCACCGAGCATAGCGTCCTAATACTCAGACCAGAAATTCTGTCCAAGGATCAGTCTGGTGTTTCCAGGTCGTCAATCTCACTCGTGTATGTCATATCACCTCAAGGGGTAATACTGCGTGATGATGGTTAGTAAACGCCTTTCCCAAAAATAGTGATAGTCTTTTACCGACTGTTACTGGTAATGGGATGCACCCTCAAAGGCTACGAGAAAGATTGAACATTGGCTGGAGCTATCTCGCTCCTCCGACCAACTGGGATGTCAGGAACACTATCTTGATCTATCTTCCGTGTCCATGTCTACCCTTGGAATGGACCTTGCTTCAAGAAGATCGAACTGACTCACCTATCATGTCTTCACGACAACTGCAGTCAATCCACAAAATCTCCAATACAGCAAATTTGAAGAGAAGCAAAGAACACCTATGAACAACTCATCCACTCCACCCAAAACAACTTGCAGCTCTTCAAAGGCGATTTGTTCATATATTGGGCCCACTTCCCAGAAAGCAGGTCCCAAACGCCCCTCGTCTCAAACCCGGCCTTGGACACATGGGCCGCGCGCAAGGAGATCTCCACGCCTTCTCGGCCGCAGCGCCAGGTGCCACGGCTGCTGGTCACCAGGATTGCCTGACGCGTCGCGGCGCGCGGCGAACCGCCGCTGGGGTCGCTCAGGTGACCGAAGAGACCCAAATCCAGGTCGGTCACCGTCACCCGTCAGTCCGCGACGAACAAGCGAAGAATCGGTATCTTCAAGCCAGCCGCAGATGGGTTTTTGCCTTCTACAAAACCCAGCCAAGTTAGGCAGAATGGTGGGCAGACCTCCGTCCAAAGGGACGACCGCGCTTGCGCGGCGTTTGGCTCCGATCATCGGGCGGCATTAGGGGGCATTCTCAAACGGCATGCCTCTGGCGGCGTTTGGCTTCTGGATCCTGGTGTTTCTCCACAAAAAGACCAAACGCTCACAAAAAAAAGAATGCAATTCTTCAGCTCCTCGCTGCCAAGCTTGGGCCTTCCTTGCTGAAGGGCCTGGAGAAAAAGAACCAGAACCAGTTTTGAGTTTTGGTTGTTCTAAGATGACTGAGCTCCTTGACCAAAAAGAAGTGGTTGGGACTGTGAACGCCTTCAAAATGGTTTTCTGCTTCGGACGAACCATCCCTGAACCGTATGGAGAACCGTGCGTGAACCGTGCGAACCGAGCACCTCAGGCGCCGGTGTGTCGCGCCTCGGGAGGACTGGGTTTCGGAGGCCGCTCACCCAGGCGACGCAGGAGGTAAGCGGGCTCCTCGTCCTGGCGAGGTCTGGAGCTTTCAACTGCGAGGGACGGACGAAACCTGCGATGGATGCGAGGAGAAGAGGTGAGAAATGGAGATGAAGAATGAGTGAATTGGTGAGGTGGCTGAAGAACTCCCTAGCACGTGGCGCGCTTCGCTTCAGTCCTCAGCAGGAAAACCATCTCTGACTTGGATGGAGAGATCCAGCCACCAAAACATGGCTGGTAAAAAATTTTAAAAAGTGCACTTTGCCAGCACCGGGGAAAGGGTCGTTTTGTTTGACACGAACTGGGTGGTGCTGGTGGTTGCCTTCACTCTTGACTCTTGACCAAGCCATTTCTGGAGGTGGTAGCTCCGACTAATCCGGAAAGCCATTTGGACACTCGTCTGTCTGGCCGTCTGGCCGGCGCAGGCAGTGTCCTGCAACTGCTCCTGGCGATATAGCTGTGCCTGGCGGCTTGCTCCGACGTGACACATGGGAAGCACTGATGAAGCACTGGCCCAGCACCCACGCCTGTAAAAGCCTGTAGACTTGAATCAACCCTTCCCAGACATGGATCGAAAGAACTCTCCATATTGGGGGGGGGTTCTTGTAAACTCCACCAGGCCGAAAATGGAGACCATCCCACTGGCGGCATGATGCCGTCAATGCCCTCACCTTCAAGGTATCATAGTCGCGTAAGGCGCAAAGGACCGGGAAGCAGTCCGTGCAGGTCTCTCGCCAGGGGAAGTACAAACATCGGCCTGCAGTCATCGGGGAGGCAATCTGGCGGGTTCGATCTGGCAGTGGATGCCGGAGTTGGGAGGGCGCCGGAGTTGAGCGTTTTGTCTTTTGGGGGGGTTCCTCAAGAAAGCGATTCACAAACTGAAAAAAATTGGGAAACAAATGACATGCAACATATGACTTGTGACCAGCACTGGGGGGTGACATATTACTCGTGACCAAGGCTAGGGTGCAATTGACATGACTTTCCAATAAACAAAACAGGCAAGGAAGAAAAAGTTCATATATAATATATTCTAAGAGATGTCCACTCTGTACTTTCAAGGCTTCGTCATCAGGAAGTCGCTAAAGTAGGATGGGTTTCGGCTGGGTTCGGATACAGATCGAAAAGGGGAAAAGGTGGGGCTGGGTCACCTCGTTGGAGTCTCCGTTGGATTCTTCTTTGAGTCTTGTTTCGCAGAGTCGGCGCATCGAATCCGATCCTCAGGTCGCTCGTGATGGGTTCGCCCGTGCCATGGGTTCCTGTGCCTGCCAAGCATTCGTAGATCGCCTCGATGGATTCAATGGACACTGGAACTCCCCGGAGGATCTTGGACACCAAAAACTGCTGTCATCTGTAAAAGGTCATCAATATTCATCGATCATCATGGCGAGCCTAGCCTGAAAGGCCTAAGTGACACAAAGAGCCGGTACCAGAAAAAAACAATCTTTTTTGGATGAAAAGACCCAACCAACCAACCAACCAACCGCATCACCTCCACGACGTGGGAAGCCCGCCCCCAATCCTTCGGCCCAAGCGTCTTCGGCGGCGGCGGGGTCCTGGAAACAGGCCAAGAGCACCGCACGGCCAGGCTCGGTGAGAACGCGTTCCAGCAAGGAGAGCCTTGAAAGACTGGTATGCGAGGTGGCCCGCAATGCGAGATTGAATCCAGAATGCACGAGCCATGCGAAGACTGGTATGCGACAGAAGGAACGGAAGACGCAGCGGAAGGGTGAGTCCATAACAGCCAGCACCAGTTGTGGCTTTTCTGTCAATCCCAAATCAGATCTCTAGCCACCGTCCTCGAATGGGAACTAGGGACCCTCCGATCCGTTCGGTTCGCTCAGGACTCGCTCATTGATTTCCACGCCATGCCTTGCTACACTCGGATCTTCCATTGATCTGCCCACTGAACTGGGGACCCTTGCAAACCACGCACCCCCGCAACGATGAGGTCACCAAAATCCTCAGCTCAGCTCCGCCAAGGGGCGGCCCAAAATGCTGGAAGAAGCGTTCCCAAGGGCACTGCGCCCGCACCGCCGAGCACCGCGCGTGGGGCTTCTCGGCCATGCCTCCGAACAGCGCGAAGCGGCGAATCAGTGGCCCAGTCTCGTGGGCGGGGGAAGTGTGGGGAGTGCCCCATGGCCATGGTGTCGAGAAGTGGTTATAAAAGACAACCGGAAGTTACACAGGGGGCAGGGGGACCCGTTGGCGGAACTCGGTGAACTACAAGCGTCCCCCAGTGAGTTTGGCGTGAAGATAGAGTCCTTCTCCAAGCTCTCCCAACAGACTGGTGCAGCAAAGTAGGGAGAAGGTTTCAAATCCCAGAACGAGTCCATTTGTTGCAAATCCCAGGGCCCATGTTTTTGGTGTCACGGCCAGACGGGCCCCCCAGAGGCGTCAGGCGTCAGGTTTTCATGTTTGCATGTTTGTTCACCCACATGTAAACATGTCAATGTTCAGTTTCACGTTGGGGGGGAGGGGGGCGGGGCAAGTGACGGCTGCGCCACGCGACTTCTTTGACACTGCGACGCATGGAACTTGAGACGGCGTCCCCAGCAACGCCACCGGCGCGGGGTCGCGTGATGTCCCGAGATTTGGGTGGGGCGGTTCTGTGTTTTGTGCTGATGGTGCAAAAGCATGGTCAGCGGCTTTCTGCCCAGGTACCCTTCCAAGCGCTTGATGGTGAAACACGTCAAGCATGTGAAGAGTCAATGGATGAAGCATGCCAAGGTCAATTCGAAGAAGATGATCTTTGGCACACAGCAGCTGGATCGGCTGTGGCCGTGGATGAAGAAGTTCATCCCGCCGCAAAGCAAGACCCGATCCAAAGGATGGGTGAATGCCCAGCTATGGAATAGAGTTTACCAGTGGATCTACCGCCATACAGAGCGGAAAAGCTTGAGAGGAGGAAAAAGAAAAGGTGCGACCACACTTTTGTGGAGAACGGTTTCAACATGCAATTGCATTTCGTGTGGACAGGCCCAGTCCGGAATGCGGGCGATACCCGAAAGGACGGTGACATCCATGGTTTTGACGACCCGTCTTGTTCCGTTCGTAGCGATGCCCTTTGTTCCTAGTAGCTTCTTGCTCCTAGTAGTATGGCCAGGAGCCCCTGGTTTTTGTTGTTTCAAGTAGTATGGCCAGGAGCCCCTAGTAGCTTCTTGCTCCTAGTAGTATGGCTTGCTCCTAGTAGTATGGCCAGAGCCCCTAGTGGCTTCTTGCTCCTAGTAGTATGGCCAGGAGGCCCTAGTAGCTTCTTGCTCCTAGTAGCTTCTTGCTCCTAGTAGTATGGCCAGGAGCCCCTAGTAGCTTCTTGTTACTAGTAGCGATGCCAGGAGCCCCGTTCGTAGCGTCCGACCTGTTCCATCAAGAAATCGGTCCAAGGCTCCCTCCAGCCACTCCACCGGCAGCTCCAAGGCGAAGCCCGGGCTCTCCACACGCCGCAGCTGCAGCGCGTCCAAGAGCTGCCTCCGTCAAGACCACGGGTCGAGGTCGACACAGCACCGACCCCATCGGTCTGCACCCATGGCGCTGATGTCTTGGCTTTTGGAAGAAGACGAGTGGTTTTGGCTAACATGGAAATGGAAAATTCTCAACTGGTCCCTTAGAAAGAGAACTTTTCCTCTAGAAACGGATGGATTTCTTCATTTCCAGGTGATGTGTTCGTCGGAGTACGCGAGATACGTCATCTATGTCATTCCATCTCCAGTAAACCATCCTTGCAAATGAATCCCAAGAACATACTGCAGGCAACCCCTGTTTCGGCCTGCGTGCCTGTGTTCCTTGTGGTTGCCCCACACCGCAACCCCAACCCTTCCCTCGACCCCCTCGACCCCTTCGACCCCTTCGACCTGCCTGCAATGTCCCTTCGACCTTTCGGGATCCGCCGTATCGAGGCCGTCCTTCCAACGCACAAAGGCCTGGACTCGTCGTCGTTCCACCGGGCGGTCGCCCCGTTCCCGAACTTAGGGCGTGAAACAGTCGTGCGACAACCTGTTCTACACGCGTACGTGCGCGCATATGCGTGTGTGTGCATGTGTGCGTGCCCCTTGTAGTCACAGGGATCCACTCGGATTGTGTTTTTGTTTTTTGTTCAGCAGGGGGCTCTCGGAGCCTGCGTGAGACGAGAGCCAACGAAGACTCTCATGTAGTGCTTGTGCAAACGTACCTGCTTGGTGCACCTGGGCGCATTGTAAGACGCAGCTGGTGGCCACTTTTTCCTTTTGTAAAATGCTAATGCAGCTGCAGTCACGCACGGTACGCCGCCACCTTGTCGCGTTTCCGCAGTTCGAGTTCGTGGGCTTTGGAGGTTCCTTGCAAGGTTCTACAGTTACCACTTAACCTGAACCCTTAGGCATTCAAACCTAGGTGGGCGTGTGGCATGTCATTCAGTTCCGTACGCAAAATCATAAGTGTGTCTCTCCTAGTGAGAGCCCAGGGTGAGCCCGCGGAGTGCCGCCTGTGGACCCGTTGAACGAACGTATCCCCTGCCCAGATACAAAGCTGCTCACAGCGAGCGTAGGTGGCCTAGGCCGAGAGAACGCAGATTTATGTCCAATTTATTGAATTCCAAGCTGGCTCATGCCTGAACGTGACCGTAGCGGTCAAAGCTGCCAGCCATTTTGGCACGTGGCCGCAGCGGCCGAAGCTTGTTCAAGACTCGTTGGAGTCTGTCGGGACCTTAGTCCCTTCCTCCCCCTACCCTCCCCCTTCTTCTCTCTTTGCCTGTTTGGGGTTTGCCTGAATGTAACACTCAGGTTTACCCCTCTCCGTGGCATGTCCCTGGACGCTTGCGCGTAGCTGGGAACACCTGTTTTCGTTCTTTTTCCTTTCTCCCTCTTCCTTCTTCTTTTGGGTGTCCCTGGATGCTTTCGTCAAATCTGGGAACCCTTCTCTTCCTCTCTTGGTGTGTCCTTGGACGCTTGTGTCGTAGCTGGGAACACCTCTTTTCCTTTCCTTTCCTTTCTTTTCTTTCTTCTCTTCTCTCCCTACCAGAGTGGGACGCTACTAGGGGCTCCTGGCGGACAGCAGCTTTCTGCAACAAAGCAATTAAGGAATGCAGCATGCCACGTAAGCCTTCAACATGTTCATTGCACGTTGTCCGGGTGCTGGCCTCGAGCAGCCTCCCTTTGGGAAGCGTGTGTGCGTGCCCCTTGTAGTCACAGGGATCCACTCGGATTGTGTTTTTGTTTTTTGTTCAGCAGGGGGCTCTCGGAGCCTGCATGAGACGAGAGCCAACGAAGACTCTCATGTAGTGCTTGTGCAAACGTACCTGCTTGGTGCACCTGGGCGCATTATAAGACGCAGCTGGTGGCCACTTTTTCCTTTTGTAAAGTGCTAATGCAGCTGCAGTCACGCACGGTACGCCGTCACCTTGTCGCGCTTCGGCAGTTCGAGTTCGTGGGCTTTGGAGGTTCCTTGCAAGGTTCTATAGGTGGGCGTGTGGCATGTGGCATTCAGTTCCGTACGCAAAATCATAAGTGTGTGCGCCTGCGTGTGGATGGATAGGGTCCATGTTCAACTCTTTAAAGAAGAAACTGCTCACCTGTGATGAGGATTAGTAATGACAAGTCATTTTTTGACATATCGAGTAGGCCTCTTGACCAGTTGATTGCCGTTCCAAACGGATGCACCGCGCGGTTCCACACACGGGTGCACCACGCCTGATCTCGGAGGAAACGTCGGACACGTGACCAGTGCTGCTGCCGGAGTGTGTGGCACACGGCAGGGTCCGCGAGGATCAGGGCCGCCATTACCCTGCGATGGCCTCGGAGGATTAATCAGCAGCGCGGATCATTGACAGATTTAGAGTGGTGAGATTGTTCCCAACAGGCATTCTTGCGGTTCCTTCGAGTGAAGCGTCCTCAAGCGAATTTTGGACATCTGTCATTTGCTTGGGAGGAACATGTCAGCAGGGAGGAACAGGTGAGATCTTCGGGGCTTATCGGATCGCCAAGGTGCTCTGACCGGCTTGCCGCGGCTTCCAATGCACAGCGGCAAGGACTTAGTTCGGATTGACTGGTTTTCACTCACACCCCCTTCTGGACTGGGTTTCCTCAACCTCGCAGCATTGAAAACGGAGAAAGTCCTATTCTGAGGATTACACTGCATGAAAGTTATATCATGTTGAATTTAGAGTAAAACAAACTACCTGTGTTGACCATGTTCATCAAACGCTGTACTATAGTAGTTTGTTGACTAAGAAAGACTTCTTAAACCCCCTTACCAACTTCCGCTGCAAATTTACACACTGACAGGCTCCAGTCAAAGCCCTCTTCCCTTGCAAGCTCTCACTCGCCCAGTGGCCACCGTTGCCCGCCAGCTCTGCACAAAGTGAAGAACCGACAGCCTGGGGTTCCGGCACAGTGGCGGCTCAGCGGCGCTGGGAACCCACACCATGTTCGGTTTCGGATCCTTTCGGTTTCGGTTTTCCTTAGACATTAGAAGCTATTAGGAACAAGTGCCTTACTACTATAGTAACAAGAAGCCATTTTCACACCATCTTGCCCAACTGATCCAACCCACCGCACTGGCAAGCTCGCCACACTCGCTCGCCCAGCTTACGTAGCCTCCAGCAGCTGGTGCCAACGGGGGTCCGCTTCGATGGAATCGCCCAGGGCAGCTTCCAGCAGCACCAAATACGGTGCAAAGACACAAATGGGCGACCTGAACCGTGATGCGTTTGGAATGATGCGCTGCGCGTGGGATGGGGGGGAGGTTGAGGGTCCATGTGGGGTTCGTGCGGGGGTTGGAGTTGGAGATTGCATGGGGCACAACGTTTTGCAGTTCAACACAAGTGGGCGTTTGAAGCTTAAGAAACACTTCCGTCTCTGACAAACAGTGTGCAAAAGATGCATGAGGGTTCCTTGGTCATTTCACATCAAACTTGCCTGCAGCTCATGATTTCTATGTCCCAAGCTTTGTGTCCATGACACCATTTCAAACCAAGAAATCTGCCATCCGTCCACCACACCGACTGTCTGGGTCCTCCCCCCGCCCCTGAGGCTCCAGGCGACTTGGAAGCGCCCCAGCGACCCTCCCAGCACAAACCTTGCAGACCCTCCCGCGCACCGCCGGGCCCGGCAGCATTCATGGGCACGGCATCACCGGCGCCGCGGAACGGCACGTTCGACGGTTGACATGTTCTGTGTGGCAGCGAAGCTATCATGATCTTCCACCACAATCCAGTGTGTAGACTACAAGCTCACATGCAGGGCTTGCGTCGCTAGCTGGTTTTTCAAGAAATGGACATTGGAGCTTTCGTTGCTCTAAACCAGTGCCTTTGTGTTCGGCCAAGAGCTCACACATTTGAGGCAGCCCGTCGTGTTCCGACGCGTCAGCCCGTCGTGCCCTTTCCAAGAAGGGACCCATCGGTGTGGCACCTGCGTCTGATTCAATCCCGACAAGCCGGACACCTCAGAGTGAGGGACCGCCGCAAGCGTCGATCGCATCAAAAAGTGGGGACAGCCGTTCGGACAGATTTCCTTACACCACCGACTTCGGGGTACTAAGACTAGACAAAAATGAAAGGGAAGAATGGCGATAAATCACAAGCTTCTTTTTCACAGCCACCTGAACTGGAAGAGTCTCAAGCTCGAGGTCTAAAGAGTCTCAAATAGTCTGAGACACAAGAAGTAGAAGACCGGCGGAGGAACCTTGAAACCTCTTGTGTGCGGAAAAGGACACCGCAGTAACCTTCCTATCGGGGACGGATGATCCACACAGAGTATCTCAGCACCACCACTGATGTTCAGTGTGGATTAGTTCTTAGGTTGGAGGCCATGGCCCATGGCTATTAAGTTGGAGCCATCGCTCTTGGGGGGGAGAATATATTGAGTGTGGATTCGTTCATCTCCCGACTTTGACTTTCCTCCAGCTGCATCCGTGTCTGCAGGGATTGATGGACTGTAAAGAATACATTGTGATCAACCATTGATGGTCAACTCATTCAGCCATCCATCAGTAGTGGATGAGAAAATCCACGTTGACCTATTCGATTCTCATCTTCCACTCCAGCCCGCAAAGAGCTTGTGAATGGCCGTGGTACTCTGGAATGTCCGAATCCCTTCTGTCATGGAACCCATCCAGTCAGAGGATGGTTCCGGTTCATGGCGCCCCAAAAAACGCCCAGAAGACACGTCGTCCTTTTCACCCACCCAGAAGACACGCTGTGGTTCCCCACCGTCAGATTCACCGATGTTCCGCCAGTGAAAGGGCCCGTCGTGGGTTGGAGCCGCTGGAGCCTCCTGGGTGGGCGCATGGTCCCCATGGTCCCCCTTCGTCCACTGTGCCACCCAAGCGTGGTGAGACATTTCGGGGGTCAAAACCCCCAAGCAGCTGCCGGTTTCGCGGTTGGTTTCGGGTGGTTGATGGTTCCCTTGTGATGTTTGGCAGCCAGGGCTGTAGAGGTTGGGACCAAGATCATGCTAGGGGTCCTTCATCAGGCCATGTCATGTGGGCTAGCCTCCAGCCAGCAAGAGTCCAGCGATCAGCATACCTTTTCTACTAAGAATAGACAACTTAAATTGATTGGGGACAACCCAAGTGATTTCAGAGTGGCAAGAAACACTGGTGCTTTTTACATGGATCTCCATCTCAAACCCGGTCTGGGAGAGCTTCGCCATCTGTTCTGAACTTGCGGTCTTATCTCTTCTTCCAGATGTCCTAAAAGCTCATTCTTGATGTTCACCCCGAGTTCATCCCTTTCCTAGCGCCATGACTGCCCAGTTTGATAGCGTGAGCTATTGGAAGCTCCAGGTTTGCTTCACTGGAGTCATCCGAGTTTATGTCTCTCATGCAATATTGACACTCCCTCGGATCACAACTCTGCATTTCCTCAATCTTCCCAACTAGTCGACCAAAAGCTTCAACGCTTCGCAACATTCTGCCTATAGTCGTTGCAGTGTGGCTTGGGGTTCCCAGGGATCGAAAAGACCTGACCTTCCATGAGCAGCACGGACTTCTCGAACCCCCCGGGTTCAGAGAGAAGCCCGGTTCGATGCTGTTTCTCCCGTGTCGAGGAGGAACTCAGGAGGGTGGTGCAGGAACTACGTTCATCACCAGTTACAGTAGTCCTAGCCTTCCAAGACCATAAAACAAATGGTTGAGTAAGTTTTGTTGTGTACAGTCCTCAACAAAACAAAAATTGTTCGGTAAAGCCTATTAATGGTGGCGAAAATCCTAGGGATAGACTGACATTCATGTCGGCACCGGTGTACGTCTTCGCCTTTGGATCGGAAAAATTTAGTGAGAAGCCGCGGCGGAAAGCACAAACTTTTGACAAGCAGTTGGCAGAGTAAGACATCTCCTAAATCCATATTTCTGAGCTCAAGACACAACTGCTGCCAGGTCTGCTTCCTCGGATAGAACCGGAAATCACCAAACTCCCATGGTATCATTCCTGAGTGATGCTGACTTGAAGCAAAGCTTCTCTTTGGCTACCCTTGCTTCACCGAACCATCCTCTCCGTGCTCAAAACTGCTTCGTCCGCTTCTCCAGGCGCCCCGGGCAAGTCGCGCCAGCCCCATCGCGAGGCGAAACTCCCGCACGAGCGCCGTCTCGTTGCAGGCCTCCAGGAGTGACGCTGGGTGGACCGGCTGGTGTTGGGACCCATCCAGTCACATCCCCGAGCTTCCAACTCCATGGAACAGCTGGGTCAGCCCCAGCTGAAGATGGCAATTTGGTTCACCGGCGGAGCTCCACAGTTCAGTTCATGCACCGGGTTCTTTCCAAAGCATCGACATCGGAAGTACCGTAAGCAGACTCTAAGCATGCGAAGCTCGTCGAAACCCAGGTTTTCTAGAAAAAGGGGGGGTTGTTGCGACCGGGAGAGGAACCAATCTGTCAGTGGTCCGCAAATAAATAGTGGCACAGTTTCCAAGACATGTTGAAATAGATTTTACGATTCTATCTATTTGGAGATATAAACAGATTGAGGTTTACCTCTCTCCATTCGAATCACTCAGGTCAGCCTGAAGGTGGACAGTATCAAAGCCCTCATAGGGATCGCGGAGGACGTTGTCACTGCACCTGATCCGGAGAAAACGCACCAATCGCGTGACAAATGCTGACAAGGCAAGGCCTGAAGAATACCAAAGAACAAGATGAGATGTCGCCAGCCAACGGAATTGGTCACCACTTCTCGGTGATGACTTCGCTCCAAGCTGGTTGCTGGTCTGCCGTTCGATCACTTGGAGCTTCCTGGTCTCGTCACCTCCCGGTTGCAGTTCTTCCCGGTTGCGCCTCTTGTACGTGACGGTCGGAAGACGAGAATTGACCTCACGTCTTGCTTGCAGCAGTGGTGTGCAGCAGTGGGGTACGCACTGCGGCTGCGATGCCTTCGATGCCTTGCTAGTTGCACAAGAGTACTTTGATTCGCTGCATATTTTATACTTGCAAAAAAGTAATCTGTCACCTAACACGGAGGCCATCTCCAATCCCGGATTGACCCTTCAGAACGAAGAGAAAACAAAAAAGAAACACACCATGTTCCTACGACCGGGGCTTCTCATCCGGAGAAACGACTTACTTGCGAAAAAAAGGACCTTCTCCTCTCCACCGAGAATCGGCCTCGCAAGAGGTTGTGGCCAAAGTCTGGGGCTCACGCATATTGGCAGTCACCACTTAAAATGGCCCAATCCTGCAATCGGCGGCGCTGCAGCTGTTTCCTTTCAGAAGCTACTAGTAACTAGTACAGACTGGGACAGAGTATGTCCTCCGATGATAGCAATTTTGGCTTAGAAGCCTCCCCCACATTGGGAAATACGAGCAGCCTATGTCATGTTCAAGAAGGATCAACCCGGAGCTGGGAGGTGTTCCTCTTGAAAACCCTCCATGATACACTGAAGGTCAACCTAGTCAACCTGCTTCGGGTCATTTGATGTCAGTGACACCCAGTGTCTACCACACGTAACCACCACAGCCCCATTCCGCCCACAATGCCCGTCACGAGCGGCGACCGTTCGGCTCACACCTGGCGGTCATCGCCAATGTCTGTGCTTGATGCCTCACCAATCTGCCGCGCCTCGCCGAGTTGTTCGATCGGATCTCAGGCAGATCGGGAGGCTTGAGGTCCAGAAACACTGACCCGATTTCACTCGAATAGAAAGGGATGATGACTGATTTCAAGTGGCAAACTGCACTTGGACATGGATTTTGAACTCCGAAGGCTACTAAACCATCAAAGCCTCGTTCAAATGACGAAACAAAGGGACTGCTCCACCGGTGCCTTGAGCTATTTGACTGTTCCACCTAAAGGCACTGAAGTGGCGCCATAAGCACCTGCAGCTCTAGGCCCCCAAACCCCAGCAGGCTGGCTATAGCTGATGCCCTGCGCATCCTGGCCACACGGATATACATGCCATCTCAACTGCCCATCCTGCAGTCCAGTCCATACTGAATGTGACAGAGCTGGTTCAATGGCTGAATTTTGGAGAAAACATTCCCTGGTTTGAAGGGTCTCAGCAAATACATGTTCATCAACAACCTCCATGAAAACCATCGCAAGGGGAAAGATTCACTCGGGCAAAGGTGGGCTTTTAAACTACGGCGTGAAGGCTCAGGGCCATTTAGCCCTCAAGTTGACTCCAACCCTATTCCAGACAAAGGGGAATCAACGAATCAACAGACCAAACCCCTGTGAAGAGTGATAATTCAAGCCTTATTGCTCGGACTATAGCATATCAGCTCTTGACTCAACGCCTACCCCATGTGACACTGATATATTCATCAAGTTCCTCTACAGTGTCGGACACCCGTTTCACGGGAGCCGAGTCCACGGCGCCTGCCCGACGATCAAGCCATGGAGGGCTCGAACCCGGACCTGTGAACATCACGAGGCGATGCGAGAAGTTTCGTACGAAGAAAGTGGAGTCTTTTCCAAATGCCCAGGTCGAGCCAAAGACCAAAAGAACTCTAGAATGGTGCCTTTGACTCGAGTACTGATTTCAGTACCTGATTTCAGGAACTTCCTTTACTTCATTGTATGGGTTTGCTTCTTGAGTGGGGTTCAGAACGTTCCACTTTGGGAACCAATCAGCACTTTTAGTGTCATCCCTCACATCCACATGCTTGATTTTCAGGTGGGCAGGCCAGGTGAATCTAAATTCCCAAGCACTCGGTAGCTTCTCTGTGTCCTTGGGCTTCGATTTGGTTCCTTGTTTCTTGTCATGCTTTGACAGACTTGCCAGTGAATCCCAGTGAACCACCATATCAGGAACCGGGGGTTCTAGCTAGGTCTACGCTTTAAGTCTATGGAACCACTATACCTAAGAAACTGGACCTAGTGGTCTATTTCCCTGGATCCACTGGGCTCAATTGAAAGACACAGCACTTTGACCCGACTCGCCGGCATGGAAGCCACCCGACTCGACTGCCCCGAGGCCCCTCTCGACCCGACCCGAGTGCCTCCACGAAGCCTCCAGTGGAGCAGTCGATGCTTAGCCCGGTGATGTTGGAGTCCCTGGAGCCCGAGGAGTCGATTCGAAGGGGCACTTGAGCTGTACTTGAAACTGGCTGTACTTAGCCCGGTGCTTTTTCTTTCTCACATGGAAATGTCAGGAACTTCTGGTCAGCACAGCCGCAGCCTTGAAGCCGTACTTTCTGAACCGTCCGTCCTTCCGGTGCCAACCAAACAGCCTCACCGATCCAATCTATCCTGGACTCGGCACCCACCAAGCCGGGCTCGAATCCTGGACTCACCGAACAGTCCAGTGATGCGAGCAGTCAGGCGACGCGGGGCACCGAGAACAGAGCCAGCCGCCGGTGTGGTGTGGTGTGTTTCACCCGTGGCTCCGAATGGTGAACACTTGGGCGCCCCCGGCCAACATGTCGGCAGCTGAGAGGCAAGGCCAGTAGCTAGAAATAAAAACCTGGGTGGCACGCAGCTGAGGGAACCCAGCAAGGCGTTGCGGCGTTGCTTTGGAAACAAAGGATCTCTGGGTCAACGAAGCAAAGGTCAAACTTGAGGCAAAACAGCCTCGGCTTTGAGAAATACCGGTCCTTCACCTGTGAACACCGGCCAATCATCTGGCCACCTGAAGGTGCATTGACTCAATTCGAGTCTCTTGCCCAGCCATGAAGAAATGAATTGCCGACCTCCCTAGACTCCCCAGTAGTCTATTCAGTTCATGTTCTGTGGTCAAGCAGGATGTCTAAGCCGTTTCCATGAACCTTCCATCTCCATCCTTCGTCCCCACCGCAGCGACCGCTCCGCGGAAGGAGCGGGACGTGCCAAGCTGGGAGCCCAACAAAGCAAGCATGCTTTAGAATCCTGCGCTTCCGGCGGCCCGCGTGCCGCGCGCAGCGCGCAGCGTCGTGGACCGGAAAACTCTGGCGTCGGAAAAGGCAAAGCGTCAGTCGTCTAGGCGTTTCAAAACCAGAAACCTTGCATCTCTGTTTAGCGCACAAATCGATTCAACTGGATTCCAGCGGTTCATTAGACTAGCCGTCTGCAGTCTGCGTACAAATGGAATCAACTAGAAACGGTGTCCAACAACCAAACAACCCAAACGCTGCAAAGCATTTGGGGGCACAATGCCGGTCAGCCAAGCTGTCACATGCTCCAGCCTCTGCACAAGAGATCCAGCCTCAGAAAAGGTATCAAAGCGCTCTTCTGGTCGGCAGCATCCAGATCGACGGCGAAGCGATTCTCTTTGGGGCGGCGAAAGTTCAGTGCGGGTGACCTCCGAAGCGGATTTGCCGCTGAGCGGTGTCCCTTGCATGTCCCACCCGGACATACCTGGTCCGACATCTGAAGCCAACAAAAGGTCCGATGCGCGTGCGGTCGTCGAGCACAAGATATTGGAGACCTCCCTCCCCGGGCAGACTAATCTATTTCCCGAACCTTCCAGAGGGTCTCTGGGGGGGTCTCCCTATATTTGAATACATACTCCTTTCTCCTTTGGCAACCAAACATTGTCTGTCTGATAGCAAGAGTGTTTGACCTGAAGCTCGGTGATCCCTCAAACGAAAGGCGTTCATACTGAAAGCAGCTGAAAGCAATAGTTCTGCGTCCTGTTTCTCTCCCTTTCCAAACAGCTGAGAAGGACTATTTGGATGATCTGATGATTTGCCAAGCACATGTTACCACCACGTGTAATTCAATATGTGCAGAATTAAAAGTAATAGAAGAAAAACAAAACCTCACAACCTTGTTGCACGAGTATGCTATCTTTTTCAACAACATCAAAGCATAAGCTAAAGTGGTTCCATGTTCAAGCCAAGGTACATCCTTCCTGGGGGCTGCCAAAAGGAAGCCCGCACCAGGTGATGCTAGAAAAAGACTGCGGAAGAGCAAGCAATGATACTCCCATCCCCTGGTCTCTAGAATTGTCTGTTCAATCAAACACCAAGTCTTCTGTCCCCAAGTAACAAGAACCTTAAAGGCACTCACGGCACACAAAGTGGCAACGCACAAGAGGTGTTCATCCGCAACGGTCGAAAGTACAATAGCACATATGAATATGTTCGTTCTAAGATGTTCTGATCCTGATCATCAGGTACCCCTCATTTAAATCACCACCATGTTGGTCTTCTCACCTTGACGAAAAGACACAAAAGAACGCGCAAAGTTCGGGCATCCTCATGCCTGTGTTCATCCTAATCTTGCATGCTGTAAGCTGCAATCGGCAGCGCGTTTTTGGGCTCATTGCCACGATCCATGTGTGAGATTTGGCTTGCCTCGGCACCTGCAGGTCTGTTGGCATGCCGACGGTGGTACGCACAAGGAGCTCCCAAAACGACAAGGAAGCTACTCGGTCGAAGCTGCTCGGCCGAAGCCCAGGGCCAGATCCGCCACCCAAAGGTGTTGCGAGACGTCACTCAAAGTAAAAAGGACCTGAAGGCGGAGGATCTGAATGTCCAGGAACACATCTCTTCCGCACTTGAAGTACTGAGAAGCCAACGACCACAGAGTTGTTGGCCTCCTCTTGAAAGCCTCCGAAGTCCTTGGAATCTTAGAGGCTCATCTGCTTCAAATGGCCTTCAACTACCATTCAATCTGATCCTATCCAGTGTGGATCAGTTGCCGTGGATGTCGAACTCCCTCACTGCATCTTGCTTGTAACTTCTCGCCTTCGATGGCGATCAAAAATGATCAAAGCATGGCGTGCCCAGTGTGAAGCGGGCTCCGTCGGGCTTTGCCCTTTGACCCGAGATGAGAAAGACTGCGGCGTGGCTCTAGTGTCTGGGCTCGCTCATTCAGCATCTGCCTAGATTGAAGTGGATTGGTCGATGAAGATGAAGCTGGCATATGAGGTCTAGCTTCTTCTTTGGAAGCCCCTTTTGATGTGGA